CCCCAGTCCAGTTTCTTACCCTCCTGTATCTTCCACATTGTTATCAGACTGGCTTTCGTAAATGACATTCCACATCAGGCCACTCTCCTGCTCAAGCACCTTCTGTAGCTCCCCATTGTACATGCCACAAGCCCAGACTCCCTAACTTCACGCATTTTCTCCCATCTGAAGTAGCCTTCTCTCTCTTCCAATTTCCTTCACTTTCCCACTTCAATCCAGGGACTTCCATTTTCCCATCTCAGCCACAGGATGACCTCTTTCCATCCCATCTCTGAGACCTCCAGGACAGAATTTTGCGATTGAAACAAGGTGACGTCACAAAGCCCCCAGGAAGGAGAGGCCTCAGTGGTGAGGATTCTGGAGCTCCTCGGGCGGGCGCTGGAGCTGGGCTTTGGTGTTCAAGAGAAACTGGAGGAAACGATAGCTCCTTCCACATGGTGAGACTTGTCCAGGTGACTCATGGGTCACCCAGGGATCAAGGGGGCTTAGATTCCACTCTGATCTGTGGGACCCAGTCAGGCCCAAGCTTTTCTGCTGCATCTACAATTTTTGGGAAAAGGAACAGGAACGGGTAGGCAGTGGGGACACAGCAGAAATTTGTGGGCGAGGTTCCCACTGTCTGGGATGTGAGTGACTTTACTGTCCCTCAGAGTATAAAATGCATTCTGGGACTGGGGTTGAGGCTCAGAGGTAGAGCACTCGCCTAGCACGTGTGGGGCACCGGGTTTGATCCTCAGCACCACATAAAAGTAAATAAACAAAATAAAGGTATGTGTCTATCTACAACTACAAATATTTTTAAGACATGCATTCTGGCTCAGCACCTCTGAGCCCCTACTTCCGTGCCCACGGTAGATGGAATGAGTACCCACCTGCTTGCTCAAGGAAAGGTGACAGACGGTTGCCTCTACCAGGCCTACTTCACAGATAGACATGAAGCACCAATGAGATGGTAGCAGTAAAAGATTAGGAAAAGTGTCAGGCACTGTGCCCAAGCTGTTTACGTATGGCACGTGGAGGCAAAAGTGCCACCAACTTCATCTCCTGTAGGCCACGCTCCCCATACTAGTCTTGGTTGGAGAAAGGAGCTGGTGCTTGGGTCCCCGTCACTGGGTTCTGATTTATCGCATTCATCAAGTTAAGTGGGTTTCCTCATATTCCTAGATTTGAAAAAAGTACTTTTAAAATTAGGCATCATTTTAAAATTTTATCGAGTGCTTTTAATATTCATTTTGGTGGTCACATGAGATAAACTGTGATAATTGGTGTGGAGTGCAGACTGGTGTTGTCATCTCCTGGCTGGGCTGCCTGGTGCAGCCAACGACCCTGGAGACAAGAAAGATTGCCAGCCCCATTTTAGGTGGACATACAGATGACCACAGAAGTGAGCTGGCCGTCTGTGACGACCATGGAGAGTGGACACCAGAGCCATGTGTCCTGGTCTCCTCGTTCTCCTCCCTGACCTCTGCTCTCCTCTCCTGCCCACCCCCAGTGTGAGGAGATGGAGATGGCCACACAGAAGCACACGCAGGGCCTGAGGCACAGCAAGGAGGATCTGAACAGGCTTAACCAGGCCATTCAGCAGCTGGCTGTGGAGGTGGATGGTGCTAAGGGTCAGGTGTGTGGGAGTAGGGGTGGCAGCCTGGTGACGGTGGGAGGGTGCCCATTGTTTATGACAACTATTCCAGACCCTCCCATCCCTTAGATAGAAACCTCCAGAGTTTTCTGTTTGTAAATGTGTGAGCAAACAGAAGCAGGCTACATGCCTACCTTTGCCTGGAACTCTAGGTATGTCATGTGGGTAACTAGCATATAAAAAATATGTATGAATATGATTATTTGTATAGTTATGTTCATATGGATATGTATATTTCAGAAGTTGCAAGATTTTTACCTAGAATTCCTGTTTTCTTTAAAACATGAAGATCTGGCCTTATTAAGCTGGTAACATTAGGCTGGAGAAGAGACATCTCTTTCTTCTCCATCTTCTTCTCGTAGGGTACAAGTTCAGGGGTGCTGCAGGGCCTACCACTCCCAACTGCATCTTTGGGTACCTAGGCCGAAGACCCTTTGCCATTTCACACCCTGGCTTCACTCTGTGATCCTGGTGGAAGAGAAAAGGCGTAGAACCCTTGCCTAGAGAACCAAAAGATAGAGAGCTTGAGAGGGTTCCTGGTGTCATCAGGGAAATGGAAGAGAGTGTGTTTCTCTGTGGAACTGGATATAATGATGTCTGTTTAACACTGGGCCTTCGCCTCTAGTACTTCTAGCCAGGCAGGCCCCTGCAGACATTTGTGTTTGTGACTTGAGCTTTGGGCCTTAGGAAGAAGAGGATCCTGATGGATGCTTCCTTTCTCCTAATCTCTCTCCCTCCCAGCCCTCTTTTCTTCCCCACTATCCCTCTTTGTTACGCACCCCCTGGAAGGGCTCCTCCTCCTGCTCCCAATCTTGTCTAACTTTCTGCAAATGCAAGTATCTCAGGCCTGAGGGACATTCCCGGAGAAGCTT